AAACCTAAAAAAATTTAAATCAACATAATGATTTGTCTAAAAATAACCCATAAGTAATCACACACTTAAATTATAACTTAAGGAAAATAATTCAATTTGTATGCTGGTCCTTCGTATTCTTATAAGAAATCTTATAATATGCTAGTTTTTTATATTTTTATAAAAAATCTTACATATGTTAATGCATGTATCAATGACATTTTTAAATGAAAATAATCAAATATTCTATATGCATTTACTTTAACTTTACTCCTACTTTATATTATTTACAGACACATCTCTTTATGAGGATCACCATCAACAAAACTAAATACACTGTTATCCTATATTTTTTCGTCGGCTCCCATTAACACAACGGTTAGCAATATAAACATCACTATTTAAGGTGGAAAGATACTTACCTGTCTCTTGACCGATATTATCTTGTTGGCACAACAATTAGCAATGTAAACATCACAATTGTCTGGGAATGTAAGCTTTGGTCTACTCACAGTTAATTTATATTGTTCCGTCGACACAATGGTTAGTGATCTAACTATCATAATTATTTTGGGGTGATAGAAAAATCTCTACATGCGTGGGTACACTGGCATCCACTGCTTTATTCAACACTCTTAGGCAACCAAAGTCTATTTTCCAAAACATTTATTTTATTGCTTAGTATTATAATTGCTTTTTCAATACTCTTAGGCATCCGTTGTTGTTTCATTTAGTACATCCGGAATTCTAAGTTCGCATGCTCACATTTGGCATGTAACCTTTAGTTATCTTCATCTTTTGATTTATCTCTTTTTTTGCACATCTTTGCTGCAAATGGATCCCACTCTCATGTTTCTGAGATGTTGTGTCCGTGTCTCCAATCTGCTCTTCAGTTCTTATTTCAATATTTTAAATTAATTTATCTTTCATTCATTGCATGACCAAAATCGTAAATATGTGGCAATCTCTAGCTGTCTCGTTGCATTTTTGAAGATCTTAATATGAGTTTATTACTTAACACATGCAGGCATTCATGATTTCTCTTCTAGTATCACTCCTTTCAGTGACATTATAATCTGGGTCATGTGCCCCAAATCAACTTTAACAATTCAACTTAGTCTTTTCTCTAAAATTTAATGTAGTGCTTGTGAATTAGATAAACATCATCGGGTATCCATGCATTTTATGTGACCACATAGTTCTAATCCTTCAGACTTTTTCACTAAGATACACCAGGTTTGAGTTTTGTTTTAACCCACCTTGCTTTTACATATATTGTAACCTTTATTCACGATTGTTCTTGTGTTTCGTTAGTATATTTGATCTAATGTAAATTAGAGGCTTGTTTGTATTTCATATTTTTGTTTTAGAAATAAATGTTTATTTTTCATCTTTATCAAAACTCTTAATACTAAAAATGCTTTAAAATTTATGTAGTTTTAATTTAACTTTTTTTGTGCTAATAATTACACTCTTTATCAAGCATAATGCTTTTATATATCTTATTAAAACGGTGTTTTCAAGCGGAAACATTGATATTTACTTGATGTTGCTCGAAATTTAAGCTTGCATGTGAATGTTACTTGTGGGATGATGCAAACTTTACTAAATGTTACCTTAGCAATCACATCTTATTTGTTGTTCTAGGTAAACTCTCTTTTTTTCATTTTGCTTCTCATACAGTCTCCATTTCTCCTCTCCCCTTGAGTTTTTGGATTTCATACTCTATTTATTTTTTTAGCAAAGGTAATAAACTCATCTCTCAGGCTTTTTAGTTCTTATTTTTGGACTTTCTCGTACCATAAAAGGCTTTCAACGCTTCGACCATTGGTTGCCACCATATTTTCCTACACCATCTTCTGCTATACAATCATCGACATTCGTCCCTTTATTATCTGTTGCCTTCTTACCCTTGCATTCACTTTTACCGATAAACACCAGACAACGTCATCTTCCTAATGTGGTGAAACCTTCATGAACATTGTCCTCACGGTTGAGAATCCACTTGTTGAAGAATTTTCTGACCTTCATTTGCTCATGGCTTTTTGAGGGGCAAAAATTCTATTACTTTAATATATATTTTTTCAATCTTATATAACCCTTAATCATTTGTCTGTTTAGTTTCAACATTTTGCATTAATATGATATATATATATATTATATATATATATATATATATATATATATATTATGTATGTATGTATATTTATCCCTAATCTTTTGCCTTCTTACCCCTGCATTCACTTTTACCGATAAACACAGACAACCTCATCTTCCTAATGTGGTGAAACCTTCATGAGCATTGTCTTCACGGTTGAGAATCCACTTGTTGAAGAATTCTCTATCATTTGTCTGTTTAGTTTCAACATTTTGCATTAATATGATATATATATATATATAGATATATATATATATGTATGTATGTATATTTATGTATATATTTTTGTACTTATGATGATGATATTTAGGATGATCAGTTTTATGCATTATGAAAATATTAAACTCGAATTTTTTTTTAATATTTTGAATTTTAAGTAATTGAGATGAACATTTGAACTTTAGGTATTATTATTATTATTTTTTTATTATCATGGTAGTTTGCTTTTCAATTTAAAGTCTTTCATATTTCGGTACATTTTAATTTATATTTTTTAAATGTTTTATCATGTTCAAAATGACATGCATAAAAGAGATCTTTATGTTATGTGTCATTCGCCATTGATAAGTATGGATATTAAAATCAATGCTTTGATGGATCAAAATAACTGGATTATATTCAATCTTCTTAGGATTAAGCCTGTTGTGTCACTGGGTTTACATTATAATTTTTTTTTAATGCTCTATTGACCATTGTAAGGTAGTTGCCAGTGGCGTCTCCAAGGTTTATGGGTTTGAACAGAACTTGTGATACATTCTATTTTACTGTCAGACCTAACTCCTTCCAAGCTCTATCATTGATTACCATTACTTATGATTTTATATTTATAAAGATGAATTTAATACTTTTAAATATCGAGGTATCATTGAAACTCTTTATATAGAACATCCACCGAGTTATCTATGTAGTTTAGTGGGATGTTAGAGTATGTAAACTCAACGATGCTTTTGTGTGTGTTTTGGTAAAATTTGAAAGGATCTTTATAATTTTGGCCTCTTAAGTTGTTTTAGACAACTCATCTGGTTTTATTATTTTGTTTGTTCATGTTGATGACGTTCTATTTATTAGGAAGAGATAAAAAGGGATGCTATTTGCAAAAGTATTTTATAACAAAAGATCTTGGTTTTCCTAAATAAATTTTGTTACAAAAAAATTAAGGTTTCTCAAACTCAAAGTAATATAATTTTATTGATTTTCTTGAATAAACTAGATTTTTTAGAATGCAATTATACTTGAAACTCTTATTGATATTTAAAGGCCACCAGTGAAGAAGAAAATATATTCGAAGTGGCCTTCCATTATTGAATACTACTTGGGAAATTAATCTTACATTTACTTGAACACAACTTTATTTATTATACTATTTGTGAGTTAAAATATGTAATCTTCTAATTAAAAGTATTGAGAAGCTATTAATCTTTTCCATAGATATATGAAAAATTTTTTGGTGGTTAAAAAAAACTTAGCACAAAAATTAGGATTTCTCTAACTCGAGGAATATAATTTTATTGATCTTTTAGAATAAACTAGAATTTAGGATGCAATCAGGCTGAAACTCCTATTGATGTTTTAAGGCCACCAATGAAGAAGAAAATATATCTGAAGTGGTCTTCCACTATTGAAGACTACTTGGGAAATTAATCTTGACATTTGAAGAGAAATCTTTTTTCTTGTGCTATTTGTGAGTTAAAATATGCAATCTTCTAAATAGAAGTATTGAGAAGCCATTCATCTTTGTCCATAGATATATAAAAAAGCTACTGGAAAAGACCTATTATACAAAAAAATGTGCACGTTGACATAGAAGCCTATGTTGAATTTGCTAGATTTTTTTTTTTTTTTATGATAGAAATTTTGTTATTGGATATTGCACCTTTGCATAAGCACATTTGAAGTGATGCAGATAAAAATTTTGTTGAGAGAACTTGGTTTATATACTACAGAATCTATGTTCTTAAATATTGTTAGTAATGTTGTCATCTGCGTTATTGTACTAGCCATGTTATCATTTAACATTATTATCACTTCATACAAAAAAAAAAAAAAAAAAAAAAAAAAGAATTTAACCAAAACATAATATCACTTCAAGCGTCATCTTTTGTTATCCAAAAAGACCACTACTCTTAATATTCTCAATCAAAAGAATTTGTTGATGTGTTTGCTCAGGCTTTTGGACCCTTTTCAGTTTCTTTTAGCTTTATAACAAGCTAAAATTTATTCATATATATGCTTTAGCTTGAGAGGGAGAATTAATGTAGTAATAATATTATGTAGGACAATTACTTTACATGTAGCTTCATTTATAGTTTTAGTTTTTGGTTTCCTAGAACACTGTATACATCAATCTATTATATAAAGGGGTTTCTCTATTGTAAAAGATACACCAATTCTCTCTTAACACCTGTCGTCAATAATATTCTTCCAATGCAATTCACCACAGATGCCGACAAAGTTGGCTTTCTTATTATTCAATGTGCTTTCTTAATAATCTTTTTTTAATAATTTCTATGTTAGCATCATCAGTCAACATTTATTTGCTTCCATGCATGCAACCACAAAGTTATGTTTCAAGTAGATACTGTTTTTATTTGTTGCTTGTTTTGCCAGATTATTTCTGCAAAAAACTTTTTAATTGGAGTATATACAATCCCCTATATGCCATTATTAAAATGTTGATTAACTTTTGCTATCATTTCAAAAAAAGTAGGATTTTTTATCTCGGTACTGTTATGTAGAAGGCATCCTTTTATGATAATATAATATTTTTCTCTATTTGGATAATTGCAAAGTTCTCACTCACTGAAAATTAAAATATTAGTTACTGCATTCTGAACCTTACCATATTTGCTTTTTCTTTTTTTAGCGTACATGCTTCAGGAGGAAGTTCATGCAGCCGAGGTAATATCTTTTTGAACTACAAAGTGTCCAATTTCATTACTGCTAAAAGAATATGCTATCAGCTATATGATTTTTCATTGCATTTTTCCTATTTTTTCAGTTGGAAAGAACCTTTATCGCAATTAAGCCAGATGGAGTCCAAAGGGGCCTGGTCAGATATCCAAATTTTATCTATAGTATTTTATTATTATTATTATTTTTGCTCAGTAGTAAGTGTATTCTTCGTTGCAGATTTTCTCAACGAAAGCAATTATGTATGTTTTTCTTTTTTTCCAATCCCTATCTTATATAAAATTGAACTTCACTTATAATACTCTATGCTGGAAAGTTGGTTAATTACATCCATGGTTCCCCGTTTTGAAAAGCATGCAAGTCCTCCAATTATGATGTGGAATGTAAATGTCTATTATTAAGTTTCCTCTCTGATTGTGCTTTTTCACATGGATTTTCTGCATAATCGGATTAAAAAGGAGAAAAACACATTTTGTAATGAAAATTGTTGTATGTGGGAACTTCCTACTTTATATACTTCCACTATTATTTTGTTCAGATCGCAGAGATAATTTCACGTTTTGAACGCAAAGGGTATAAGCTGGTAGCTATTAAGTTGGTTATTCCCACTAATGAGTTTGCTCAGCAACATTACCATGATCTCAAGGAGAGGCCTTTCTTTAGTGGCTTATGCAACTTTTTGAGCTCCGGCCCTGTACTTGCCATGGTACTTAAGCTTATGGTGGCTTCTTGTGTCACAAACATATTATATGTTATAGCTGAGTTTTGTTTATTTAGTAGGTTTGGGAAGGAGAGGGAGTTATAAAGTATGGCAGAAAACTTATTGGTGCAACAGACCCTCAAAAATCAGAGCCAGGGACTATTCGAGGTGATCTTGCAGTTGTTGTTGGAAGGTACTGCCTTTACACAATTTATTTTTGGAAAAATTATATACAATACCACTCAGTTCCTATGTATTTACATGTCTGATTCCGAAAATTCAATATTTACATACATGCCACCTTCCTTAAGCATGAAAATGTGTATTTTACTATGTAAAATTTAGGGGCGGTTTGGTTGCAAGTAGGATTTAGTTTAAATGGGGTTTAACAAATTATTAAAATGTGTGAATGTTTTAGATATCTCGAGTCTATTGTTCAAAGTGATGGTGATATAGATGGGGATGTTAATAGCAAAACTCAAGTTGGTTGGCTAAAGTGGAGGAATGCTTTGGGCCTATTGTGTGATAGAAAAGTACTGCTTAGACTGAAAAGAAAATTTTATAAGATGGTGCTGAGACCTACAATGCTCTATGGCACAGACTGTTGGCCATTAAAAGAGAAGCATAAAACTAAGTTAAGTGTTACCGAGATGACAATGCTTAGGTGGATGAGTGGCTTTATACTTAGAGACAAATTGCGAAATGAATATATCCTTGATTGGGTTGGTGTTCTAGTGGCGGACAAAATTAGAGAGAATCGTCTTAGATGGTTTGGTCACATTAAACCTCGATCGTTTGATGATCCGGTTAGGAGAGTTGATGTTATAGGTTTGACTTATATTAAGAAAAGCAGATGTTAAAAAGGCTTGGGCATATTGTATAAAAATGATCTTAATTTATTAGAATTAAATAAAAATATGACACTCAATAGGACAGATTAGAGAAAAAAGGATTCATGTAGTCGACCCCACTTAGTGGGATAAAGACTTGTTGTTGTTGTTAACAAATCTTGTAAATCCGGATTTATCAAATTTTAAGGGGGTTAAATCTTAAAAGTTGTGGCATGTTAATAAATCCTACTAAATCCTAAGAAATTGTTTGGCAGCTTTAGAAAGATTTAGCAAAATTTACCAGAATAAACTTCTAAAGATAAATATTAAATAAGAAAAAATAATTAGTATCTAAAGCCTCAATCTGCATAAAAAAATTATGAATTTACATTAATTAATAATTAATTATATCAATTAATAAATAATAAGTTTTTTGTGAAATAGTTATTTATTAAATAATAATTGAATATTAATCAATTATAATCATATAAATTTAATAATTACTTAGAATTTCACTAAATAATTTAAAATTTAAAATGTATTTTATTCATTAATTAACTATTAAATAATTACATTTTAAATTTATCTAATTATAATTAATTTGTTAATATTCAAATTAATTATTAATTGATAATCAATTAATATATTGAAATTAACTTGAATAAAAATAAATTAAAACCACAATCTCATCCCCCTCCCCCTCTCTGCCATATCCCTCGCCTAAATCGTCCCCCTCCCAAAACTCTCATTAATGTCCCTCTCCCTCCTGGTTTTGCTCAAAACCATCACCTTCATGAATGAACCTTTGCAATACAGTTGCCATTAGAGCCAAAGCTAGGAAGGCATTGAAGGGAATGTGGTTTATAGAGAACACTGAAACTCCCATCTTTCTCTTTCTTTCGCTCCGCTCCTACCAAAAATTATTGACGAAGGTAAGCCTATTTGCACCATTCCTCCTCACCACTTGTTGTGGATTTCCTAAATCCGCCGATTCACAGGATTTAGTAAATCCTGGATTTATCACAAATCGGTTTCTTTTTGAGATTTAGGGGAGCGGAGGATTTGCCGGGATGTTTTTTTTTGCCGTTGGCAGGATTTAGGTTAAATCCTGTGAAAATTCAATTTAAAACCGGCTACCAAACAGCTCCTTAAGCTGGTGGTATTTTTGTATATGATATGAAAGATTAGGGTGGTCTAAACTTAGAAAGTAATGTTTAGGCGTTAGATATGTAAATGCATAGGGATTGAGTGGTATGGTATGTATGTAAATACCCCTTTTAATTTTTATAAGTGGAATATATTTTTTTCATATAGATAAGTAGTCGTGTATATGTAAAAGTTGAAGTTTAGGCGTTAGATACGCAAATACATAAGAATCGAGTTGTCTGCATGTAAATCTTTTTTCTTTTATTATTTGGTGAATTTTTTGAGGTTAGATGCAAACTTGGTTGCAGCATATAGGTAAGTTAGCGTGTATATGTAAAAGTTGAAGTTTAGGCATTAGATATGCAAATACATAAGAATCGAGTTTTCTGTATGTAAATCTTTTTTCTTTTATTATTTGATGAATTTTTTGAGGTTAGATGCAAACTTGGTTGCAGGAACATAATCCATGGAAGCGACGGACCTGAAACCGCTACAGATGAGATTGCCCTCTGGTTTTCACCCAGCGAGCTAATTTCCTACGCCAACAATGCGGAGAAGTGGATCTATGGAGAGAATTGATTAGTATTTCAAGTTTTTTTTTTATTTAAAATTTTTCCGTACTAATTGATAAGCTAAAATATGCGAATTATGCATTCCTAATTTTAAATAATTGAGCTAATAAGGGGTAGTAAGGATTATTATGCCCTGTATTTCCGAGAAGCTGCTGCCAAAATGATACTTGTTCTTAGTGGCAGATGGCTTACATAAACCTTTGCTTTAATAAGCTTTGAATGATCAGTTGTTCTTATCAAATCAAGAATATATTTAGTTGTTTAGCACTTTAATGGCAGATTCAAAATATGGCCAGGTTTATAAATTTTTTTTATTGTGGAACACCATTTTGGAAGAAGGTGTTGATGCTGTGATTAGTAGTTGTAATCGTCGGAATGCGTGGATTACGATAAAAAAAATTGGGTGAGGATATCTCGGTTTAGCTTTTATTAGAATGGGTTTCAAAATTGTTGAATTTATTTTGAATTGAGTGCAATATAAAGTTTGTTTCATTGTTTTTTTTTAGCAGATTTGAGTATTTCAAACTTGATTTTGATCCACTTTTTGTTTTCTCAACTAATTAACATGAAGGGAGAATCAGTATTGTTTCTCAGGGCATATACATCCATCCATATGTATATATATATGGCTCATTGGTTCCGGCCTTTGGTGTAAGTCTCTCTGGTGGGGGGTCGATCCCTTCATAGGATTGAATTAGACATTTGTTTGGAAGGATAGTCCACCCCTCGGTCAATATATATATATGAGTGTGTTCTGTGGCCTTTTGGTAGAGCATTCTCTCGAAGGTCGCAAGTCCCCTTAGGTCTCGAGTTCGGATCATCCTGTGTAGGGAGTTCACAGGGATGGTCGGGACTCGCAAATAGCCTTCGGTCATTCCTTTGTGTGTGTGTTGTGTTTAGGGGGGGGGGGGTTTCTCATATTCGATGGTGGATATGTAGATGCATGTGTACTATTAATGTAAAATACTCCTATTTTTTAAAGATAATGTTTAAAAAATTAGCATTTAATGGTAGGATAATAGACTTGCATAATGATTTGATGGTATAATACGTTTATGTTAATGCATAACGTTTCAGTTTGAGTATTGAGATCCATCAGATTTTAAATATATATTGCTAAAAATTGCCAATTTAATTAAATCTAATTATTTTTTTTATATTTAATTAAAATTGATGCGGTGCAATATTTAATTTCTTGCTCTTTTGTCTGATTTTATTTTTGAAGGCATAATTTTCAAAGATCAATTTTTTTAGGTATAAAAATTACTTAATATGCTTTTTTCAGTAAAATTTATGTCAATACTCATAATAATCAAAATATTTTAACTCAATAATTTAACTCAATAATAATTATTTAAACCATACAAACACTCTCCTTTAGAAAGAAATATTTTGCATGAATATGTGGATTTGATGATATAGTGATTGTATTATAATAGTATTCATTATAATATCACCACAATATCATCACAATACTACAAATCCAAACCCATATTATATGTACGTAATAACGGCCCCTCATTTTGAGTTGGTTTTAATGTGTTGGTTAATGGGTCGGTCAACTTGTCGAGCTAGCTTATTGTAACAGGAGCCATTTAGGGATCTCATAGCTTAAATTAATTAAGGGAAATTTACATGCATACCACAAAATTATTATTTATTTTCATGTTTTGTACATAAACTCTAATATTTACAATTATAAGACATTAGTGTTCTAAAGCTATGCATGGAAAGATGCATCTCAAATTTAAAAGTCAGTAATAGTCATAAATGTGATCCAATATTAACTATTTTAGTGATATGAATGTAAACTTACAAATTTGTGTATTAGATATGCAAACATATAAGAAATGTGTGGTATCAATGAAAATGCCCCAAAAATTAAATAATCAAAGTGAAAAAGGGCTCACATGAAAGAGTCGTTATAATTATTAGTAAAATATGAAAGGGGTAGTTTTGTAATTAATTATCTTAAAAATCATGTGAAGTGAAGCTACATGCTTTATGTTAAGGCATTTATAAAAGTTAATAAGAAAATGATAGAAATAATAAATAAGAAAAGAAAAAAAAAAGAATTAGAATAAGAGATTTGCAAAAATCATACTTCAAATTGTAATATTTGTGCAAAATCTTAAGAGTCAACATATAAAGCCCAATTTTTTAAAGTCGCCAACTGATTTATAAGCATAGGATCTTCTTGAAAAGGTTTTCGGTGTAAGAAATAAAATTGATGTATGCATTTAGGACAAGTTTAGGGAAGGCTTTTTTACTATTTTATTTGCGAGAATATTGACATAATTTTATTTGACTATAATTTTCTTATTGTTCTCCAAAGATTTTGTGACAAGAAATAAGTTTTTTCGGCTCAATTTTTTTGCAATAAAAAAGTGCAATATTTATCATAATTTTTTGTTATAATACACACACACAACAACAACAACAACAACAACAACAACAGCAAAATAGCAATTTTTATAAACAGTCGTAGTTATAACAATTAGACCCATAATTTCAAAGCATTATGATACTTAGAAATGCATGATTCATAACCCATAAGCAATCCCTATCAAACAAATCAAAGCCTAGTATTTATGAATGCCCGTACTCTTAAACGTAAAAACGATGTATTATTTTGATGACTTCATTGATGGCTCAAAGTAATATTACGGCTAGAGTCTGGACATATATAGACTTGTGTATGAACTCCAATAGTGTTAAGACACACAGCCGACCAATTGGACCTATTTTTTATATCATAAATAGGTAATATTTAGTGGTGCCTGAACTTGACCCGAAATGAGCCCAAAATTTAGGAAAAGTGTTACATTCAAGTACCCATGCACGCTCGCACACGCCTTTATTTCCTTTTTATAGCCTAGAGTTTTTGACAAGTCTAGTGTTTTCCGATTACGTAATCTGAGTTTTTGAAAGAGCTTAGGGTTTCCAAACGAGATTCACGAAGCGCAGTACTCAACAGAGCAATCATTAATGTAATGTGGCCAATCTTTAGTAAATGAATTTCAAACAAGCTTATCTTTTTCTACTAAACTTATGAGTTGTTTATTTCACATGGTTTAGGGTTTTTAAGCGACATTTTAAGGGTGATTCGAGAAGCAAGCAATCTAGAAAGAGAAAATGAAGATGAAAAGCAAAATTACTTCAATATAAATAGGTAAAAAGAAAAATTTGTACAAATGAGTATATTGGTTGATTTGCCATGTTTAAACCAAAAGTAGTCTTATTTTATTGTTTAAATCAATGTATTTTGATATTAGAAGCTTAATTTGTTTAATTTATTACTATTTTATTCAATTCTTTATGCCATGATAAAATGAGTGTACAACTTGGTGTACAGATTCGTGTATTGTAAGTTTTCTGATATTTAAATCATATGTAATCATGTTATATTATTTGTTCCATATTTTGTTGTTTTTCCAATTCTTCTAGACAAAGTAGAATGTGTGTGCAAATATGTGCATTGCATAATTACTCATGTTAAAAAGAATATGTAATCATATTTTATTATTGAAAAATATGTTTGTTGATGCGATAAGTTTCATTTGTTTCATATTGTTGTTTCCTACAATTTCTCTTGGCAAAATAGATTAAGTGTACAAATGAGTGTATGATCCATGTTTTTTATTTATATAGTATGCATTTATACTTTATTATTGAAAAATAATATATTTTGATGTGATAAGCTTCATTTGCCCATATTTCACTATTTATTTAATTTTTCTTGGTCAAGTAGAATGAGTGTACAGATGAGTGTCTTCGTCATATCTCCCATTTAAATAATATGTCATAATATTTTATCATTAAAAATAATATATGTGATAATCTTTATTTTCTCCAT